TGCACACCAGGGAGCGAGGCAGGTTAGGAACCTTTGCTGTTCCAAAAATCTCATTTCACGTGTCATCTTCTTTACTAATTCCAGCATTACACCTGCAAAGCCTCGTTCCACCCTTTCCAAACCCCAAGCTGTTGGCTTTTGGCAGCGTGACTCTGGGAAAGGGTTTGGAACACCTGGTTCCCTCTGGTCCCCGTGCTCAGCTCAGGGTGTATGTCAGGTTTCTCCTTTTTCCTGTGGATCTTGTGTGGTTTTGCAGGAATAACCGACTTCCTGGCCAGGCACTGGGGCTGAAATAAACACATTAAGGCTGCCAGTCACCAAGCTGGCTGGTAGCCATGACCCCGGCTCTAGCGGGAATAAAGCTTTGGGAATGGCGGTGGTGCCAGGGACGGCTGCCCTGACGCCTGCAGACAGCATCACACCAGCCTGGCTTCTGCTCCTCTTGGCTCCCAGCCTCCCTCCTCATGGACGAGGGTCACCACGGGCTGTGCACCTTGCTTGGAGCACCAGCATCCTTGGGATGTTCCTTCCCTCGCAGGCAGGGATTTCAAAGAGCCGAAAGAACGCGTCTCCAATGGGTCTATTGTGTGTCGAGATATTTTGGTATTCATAGAATCACGGAATGGTTTGGGTTGGAAGAGACCTTAAAGATCGTCAAGTTCCAGCCCCCATCCATGGGTGGGTGTGAGAGGATGTCAGGCACATCCCTGGATGAGGCTGTTTGTAAGGCAAGGAAATGAGGAAGGCTGGGATGAAAAGCGCCGTGCCCAAGCGCTGCCCCCGCCCTGCACCCCTCGGCTTTTATCGCAGCTATTTTGCATGTGAATGAGAACTTTCCCACTTCCTTCTGGGGCTTGAATTGGCGAACGGGGAGTTGTTAAAAAATCTCCAGTCTTCAGCCCCGACAAAGGATGGTTGCCATGGAAATAATGGAAGTTGCATCGTGAGCAAAATATGTCCAGGCCCGGCGCCAGCGGGAGGGAGGAGGGAACACCTTGTCGGTCAGGAACCTTCTGCCAGGCCCATGTGCCTCCACGTGGTGTTCCTTGTCCTTGGCACTTTGTGCTTTGGGTTAAAAGAGGAGAAATCAGAAGTGTCATGACTGGATGGGAAGGGCTGGTAGAACTTCACCTGCTCTTTCCACAGCGCTGGTGCCACCAAATCAGCAGAGCTGCCCCACATTCAGGATCCCAAAGGAACCGAAGCTGGAGTCCCATCTCAGGTAATTGGCAGGAGTCTCCTGTCTCAGCTATATCCAACCTCTTCTTCGTGTCCAGGAATCTTCCAGGTCTGTTTTACACTTGCCCATACAAACAGACAAGGTAGCTTCCTTTTCTTCTGAGGAAAAAAACACCTTTGGATTTTAAACTCTCCAAAAGCCTTTTCTTTGCAGACCCACAGTTATAAACTGCATTTTCTGTTGCTTTCAGCAAATCTTAAGGTGATTTCGAGCCAAGAGGCTTGAGGAATTCGCTTTATACCTCTCCAAAGTGCTAATGGGAGCCTCAGAATCCTTGCTGAGCTATGAGAGGGACTAAAATAAATCTCCATCAGGGTTTATCCATGAGCTGCAGAGCGCTTTGGTGAGGCCCAGAATCAGTGAGGGAACTGCACTTTTCAGTGGCTCTGGTGAATGGTATTCGCTGGTGGGAGCTGGAATGGGGAACACCAGGGCACTCTGGGGCCTAAGCACTTCGTTCTGCTCCCCTGAAAGCACCGGGGGCTTGGGAAGAAGCTCAAAGCAACCAGCAAAATCCTGTTTATTGCTATTGGGGAGCATCAGGTAAGGAAGAAAACAGGGATGTGGGAACCAGCAGCAACACACAGGTGCCTGAGGAAACTCGTGTTGAAGCTGCCACTGTTTGAATGAATTTTAAGGTGCTAGGGTGAGGAGTAAAGGATAAACAGCGTGGCTGGGTGTAGGCTCAGATCCCTGCCACCAGCAGAGCAGAATTCAGAAGGTTCAGGCTCATTTCTAACCTGGGAAAGGGCCAAGTAGGGGAAAGCAGCAAAGGCCTGAGATTTAAAATGTGGAAACATAGTAAATGCATATAAATATCTGGGTCCCCATGCTACTTTTTCTTCCCGCACCTCAATCCCACCTCCTAATCATTGGCAAGTTCAAGTGGATGTTAAGCTGATGAGAGCCCAGTGAGCCTGACCTTTGAGAAGAATCCAAAATCCTTTGGGGAGATTTTGGTGGGAACAGACCTTAAAAATCCTCCAGTCCCACCTCCTGCCATGGGCAGGGACACCTTCCACTGCACCAGGCTGCTCCAAGCCCCATCCAGAATGAAGGTGTTCTGCGGGAGGCTTTTGGGGGCTGGGGCTTTGAAGGAAGCAGCAGCTGGGATGAGGATCTGGGGACACTTGGGCTGGCCGTGGAGCCATCTGATTTGTGGCAGAGCCCTGGCAGCAGGGCAGGGCTGGGGGGTCTGTCCCGCTGAGTGCTCACAAAGAGCCCCCTGGAGCCAGGGCTGCAGGACGGCAGCAAATTCCTGGCGCTGACAGGGCGGTGCTGCAGAGACCCGGATCCGAGGGCACCGCCGGAGCCTTCCCTGGAGCAGGAATCCACCCTCCTCCGCTCGCTGCTTCAGACAATTCCGCATAAAACATCGCTTTCACCGAGCCTTGCAATAGCGGGGGCGAGCCCTGCAGCGCTGCAGTGGGTCTTTGAAGACTGTGAGTGGTAAATGTCCCCCGGGGGGCTGGGGCAGCTGCCTTGGTGGGGACACGGTGCCATCCCGGCCTGTCACATCCCTCCCTTCCCGGCTCCAGCCTGGGATGCTCCTGCACACCCCATCCCTGCCACCCCTCTGATCCTCCTCCGCCTGTTTGCTCAGTGTTTAACACACCCCCAGCCCTGCCCGTGGCTCCCAATTCCAAACCTTGGAGCATTGTCTTTCCGGGGGGGCTCTGCCAGCTGCTCCCCCCATCCACAGGCGGCCCCGGAGGGCTGGGCAGAATTCCCGGTCCCACAGGGAATTGCTGGCAGGAAACAATCTGGCAGACAACATGTTTAGAGGAGACTGATGTCTCGCAGCCACCGAACCATTTAATTGCCAATAAACACAGCCCACATGTAAATAATTATGGAGACCCGGGAACTGTGTCGTCTTCCGTGGAAGGAGGGAGCTGTCAGCTGGAAACAACCCATGGCAAAGGGAGAAATTAAGATTTCTTGTTAATGCAGGAGGGATGAGCATCACTAAACCTGCCTGGATGTTTCCCGGTGTTGCTTTGGGCTCAGGGTGGCCCAGGAGGTGATGGTTCCTGATGAACTGAGAAGGACCAGGCTGTGCCTTGGGGTGAGTTTGAGGGTAAATCTTGAAAATTCATCCATTTGATTCACCAGGCTCTTGTTGCAACCCAGTGGGATTATTGCAATATCTTTTTTTTTTTTTTTAATTTATTTTTTGCCACATTTTTGGGATAAAAAGCTAGTTCAGAACTTTGGAGCTTTATCAACATCCTGCACATTTTCAGTAATGCAGGCTTTCCCTTCAGAGCCCTGGTAAAATCTGTAGGGACCCTTTGTTCCCCTGCCAGGACATCCCATCCCATCCCATTCCATCCCATCCCATCCCAGCCCAGCCCAGCCCAGCCCAGCCCAGCCCAGCCCAGCCCAGCCCCTGCCTTGAGCAAGGACACTTTCCACCATCCCAGGTTGCTCCAAGCCCTGTCCAAGCTGGCCTTGGACACTTCCAGGGATGGAGCAGCCACAGCTTCTCTGGGTGATCTGTTCCAGGGCCTCAGCACCCTCACAGGGAAGAATTTCTTCCCAATCTCCCATGCTGCCCTCTGGCAGTGGGAAGCCATTCTCACTCGTCACTCCAGGCTCCTGTCCAAAATCCCTCTGCAGCTCTCTGGGAGCCCCTTGAGGCACAGGAAAGGGCTCCAAGGTTTCCGTGGAGCCTCAGACATCCGCACTGCCATCTTTCCCCCGCTGAGGCTGCCCTGGCTCCATTCCTGGAGCGGGAGGGTGTCACCACGCGGAGCCCCCCGCTGTCACCGCCGGAGAAGCTGCCGATCCAGTAATCTGGCTTTTCCCAGGGGGGTTGATGGTTCCTATGGGAACCAAGAGCCGCTCGGCAGCGCTTCCCTGCGTGGCAATCAGCGCTCACCTCATCTGTGGAATTAGCGAGTGGCCCCGGCCCCATCCCGCTCATCACAGCTTGGACGTGGCTGGAGGCACCCCTGTGTGGGGGATCTGCCTGCAGCATCCCCCCAGTTCTCTGCTGCCAGGGGCTGGGGGATGGCTCCATCCATCCCTGCTGCAGGAAATGCCTGTGTCTCCCTCACTGCTCCCAAGATTGGGTATTAACCTGCAGTAAAAATGAAGCTCTGAGTGGGAGGGTTTTGGGGTGTCTCCAAGGCCCGCTCCATCTTTGGCATGCTGGAGAGTCCCAAGCAGTGCCACCAAGCCAGGGATGTGTCTGTCGGTTTTTGGGGACTGGCACAAGGCACACCATCCCTCATCATCACCTTGGGGAGCAATGGAGAAGCAAGTCTGGTAAATGCCAGGTTTGTCCCCAAGCTGGGGCACGGTGACCATGGTGTGTGACTAAGGAGATTCTTGGCATCTGCAGCAGGAGCGGGATGATGGATAAAACAGATGAATGAGGAGTAAACTGGGGTTTAGGAAATCTTGGTTAATTTGCTGCAGCAAGAGCTCGCTACGCTCACAGAAATTAAAGCGTGAGCGCTCGCAGCGACAGGGGAGGAGGAGGAGGCACCGGGGGAATACGGCATGAGTCGGAAGTGGGTACATGCATAAATCACCTGTGGTGCTTTCAATAATTCAACAGCGCTGGGAGACCCAGCAGTTCACAGAGAGGTGATGTCCATGGGAAGGTGCTCAGTGTGCCTGACCCAGCGGGATCCAGCCCCCAGTGTCCAAGGCCGGGTTGGACGGGGCTTGGAGCAACCTGGGCTGATGGAAGGTGTCCCTGCCCACGGCCGGGAGTGGGACTGGCAGGGATTTAAGGTCCCTTCCATCCCAAACCAGGACCCATTCCCGGTCATTGCTGTGAGCCTGAGCTGTATCAACTGTACTTTTAGCCAAAAGAAGTGAAAATAAGCCTGATTTACTCATGTACGTGTCACAAACCTGCCTCTTTAACCAGAGCCAAGAGCTGGGAAGAGAGTTGGCCACGGCTTGTACAGCCCATGGAATCTGATCAGAGAAATGCAAAAGATATTTTGCAAGCCATGTCAAGACAATGAGAAGCAGTGGCTTGAGTCAGAATGTTATTCACAATAAACCAGGGAATAATGATAACAATAATAATAACAACAATAACAACAATAATAACAATAATAACAGTTATAACAACAATAATAATAATAGTAAATGAACCAGCAATTTCTAAGCTTTTTCCAGATCCACAAATAAAATTTGCCCAATGATCCTGGCTCAGTGGAAGAGCTTCTCTCTTCTGGATTTTTGTCATCACTGGTGACATCCAGACAGAACAAACACAGCAAGAGGGGGACTAAAAGTCAATGGAAAATTACCAGGCTAATTTTGTTTGCTATGCCTGATTTGGAGACAGAGGAGGAAATTTCTAGGAGTACACATGAAAACAGTGTTGATCTTTTGTGTGCATTTAGAGCTGATCCTCATCTCAATTCATTCTGCAGTGCAGGACAAAGGGCCTCATCATCTGCAGCCATGGGAGAAACCCGGATGGGGACCAAATAATGGGAATAATACCTTGCTTGTAGGTAAGCTCTTTGAATAATCATCTCTTGAGTGCTTTTGAGAGAACATCACTGGAATAAATTACATTATCTGCCCAAATTATGTTATCTGCCCCTTAAAGCTGTAAACACCTGAACAGGGTGAACAATATTTCCCTTCCTGGGCAGTGTCCTGGCAGATGGGAGAGCTACAGGCACCAAATCCTGGTAGAGAAGAAGGTCACGGAATGGAATTTTTTAGATAGGAAAAGATCTTTAAGATCCTAGAGTCCAACTGTTATAAACCATATTTCAATGAACAAGAGAGTTTGTGAGGAAGAAGCAGCCTCAGGGAGAATATTGTGCAAAGCTCTCAATAATTGAGGATGATTTAACAAAAATATTCCCTTTATACCCCCTGGTTCCTGGGAGAAAAGCTTTGAGCAGCTTCCTGAGGAAAGCTCTGCAGAATCAGCCTTCAAACATGTTTTTCTCTCTCATTTATCTGATTAATTTACTTTCATTAAGAAAACCAACCATGTTCTCCTTTATATACCCAGTTTCTGTGAATCACAGACCACAGCTCCAGGATTTCTGTGTTTATTCTCAGAAGTCACTCAGCTTTTAGCTCACTCTCCCGAAACAGTGTTTTCCTTTTTCCTGCAGGTAATTTGGGTAATCAGCAAAACATCTAAACAGGGGGACCTGAGGGTGGGGGTTTTCTTTCCTAGTGCTCAATAACTGCAAATTCTAGACTAGTCTGCAAACATGGAAGAGGAAACCTCATTCTCTTTGTGGATCAGTTCTCCGGGATGGATGTATGGATTTTAAATGGTCCTGTAGATAAATACAGTGATGGGAATGAGTGGGTGGTGGAGTTGAAAGGAAGAAAAAGGCTAAGAAGAGTAATTTAGGGAAACTTAGGGCTTTTAATTAAGAGTGAAGTAATAGAGATTGCAATGGGATGAAATGGAGAGAGAAGGAATCAACAGCAGCAGTGACAGGACAAGGGGAAATGGCTTCAGTCAGCCAGAGGGCAGGGTTAAATGGGATCCTGGGAAGAAATCCTTGGCTCCAAGGATGGTGAGGCCCTGGTACAGGTTGCCCAGGGAAGCTGTGACTCCTCCATCCCTGGAAGTGTCCAAGGCCAGTCTGTTTGGGGCTTGGAGCAACCTGGTCCAGCACTAATCCCAGCTTTACCCCCAAGGATCTGCCACTGCCCAGGACTGGGACAGAGCACATCCAAGCTGGCATCTTCCTGGGAGGGGGCTGAGCTGCAGTCAGGGGTTTCTGGGTCTTGTGGGATTCACACCAACACAGACATACACAGCCCAAGCTCTTGAGGCCTTGATTACAGGAAGGACAAACAGAGACCTTCTGCCTTTCTTGGCTCCTCTGGGATGAGCAGCCCAGGCCCAGGGGAGCTGCAGGAAGCTGAGGAGGGAGCTGCTCTGAGGGAGCACGACAGGGTTCCTGGCATAACGTTGGATGGGTCCCTGTCTCTGCTGGTCACCCAACAGAAGATCAGAGCCCTTCTAGGGCCACCATGAGGGCCTCAGCAGGAAGGTGAGTGAGCTGGTGGGTGGGTGGGTGTAAGGGATCCTGTTGGGGTCCAGCCAGCTGTGTCTGCACTGCGTGCTCCCCAGGGATGCTGGCCAGTGCCATGGGCAGGTTCTGTGCAGGGCTGAGGATCTGTTGCTGGGGGCTTTGAAGTCCTGTCCTTGGGCACGAGGAGAAGTGGGAGGTCATGGCTTGGCCCCACAGAGCAGGGCAGCTGGGAGCTGCTGGTGCCTGTGGGCTGTTCCCAAGGGTTTCTCCTGGGAAATCAAGAGGTTAAAACCTAGATGGGAATTGGTGGTAAGGAGATGCTGCCTTCTACATGTGCTGCTTGCACAGAGGAGCCTGAGAGGCCAGAGAGGCACTTCAGACACCGAGGAGCACTGACAAACAAACCCCACCTTCATTCTGGGGTAGAACAGCCTGGCACTGGGATTCCCACCTCCACTGCAGGGCCCTGAACATGGACAAACACCAAGCTAAACTTCCCTGGGAGCAGAATTTAGGACACTATTCCCAGCAAACTCATCACATGAGATCTTTTGAGTCCTACTTGGCCATGAAAAGCAGTGATGACTTCATGGATGTGCCCTGCTGCACCTTTGGCTGGAGAAACTGGGATGCCCTGTCTGATTACAGGGGCAGCTCCTCCAGCAGGCCAAGCAGGTTATGAAAGTCACACTCGTTCCAAACAGCCATCTGCTGTCAGCAGCCACGTGTCCCCATCTGCACCTGCAGAATGCACATTGTCCTACATTGTCCCCTCACCAGTAAGCCACAATTTTAAAGGATAAATGCACAGCAATTTCATGCCTCCCTGTGCAAGTCGACCTCTTCCCGTGGCACAAAGCACTGCCTGTTGCTTAGGAACAATCTATATCCTACTAAAATGAAAATGTGCTCTCTCCAAAGAGTTTTTTACCCAATGGGTTTTTGCCTTGCTCAGACACTGACCCACCTCCTGCATAAACCATGGGGGGAAGTCTCTGTGCTCCAAATGTCGCACTGGACACCTACTACACCCAGCCAGGATTTGGGATACAGGGATATGGCCTAGCTGTGGTTTGGGATGAGGGGCTGTGCCAACCCAATCCCTCAAGGTAACCTGGACTGCAAAGCTATCTTGTCCGAGGCCCCGGTGGGAGCATCTGCCAGGGTGGAGCAGGTGTTGAAGCGGGAAGCCTTGCAGGACGTGCTCCTGGAGCTCTGCTTCTTGCGGTAGAAGTAGCCGCTGAGGTGGGACCAGAACTTGTCGTGGAGGGAGGCATAGATGAAGGGGTTGTAGCAGGCAGAGCTCATGGCGATCAGGTGGCACGAGACCTGGATGACGTTGACGTACCTCTTGTCCAGGATGGTGAACTCCTCGTCAATGTCCCGGATGAAGTTGACCACCTGCAGGGGCAGCCAGCAGACGGCAAAGCAGACCACGGAGATGGTGAGCACGCGGAAGGTCTTGTGCTTGGTCCTGGTCCACTTGTCCCGGCAGTGAAAGGCGGCGCCCGGCACGTTCCTCCTGCGCAGGTGGTAGGTGATGGCACAGAAGGAGACGGACACGGCCAGCAGCGGGAGCATGTAGGAGAGCAGCAGCATCAGGCACGAGTACAGCAGCCGCTGCCTCTCCTCGTGCTTCCAGAACTCCTCGCAGATGATCATGTCGTGGCCGATGGCGTTGAGGTCCAGGTAGTGGGTGTGCAGCGAGGTGGGCACGGAGGCCGCGATGGAGAGCAGCCAAATGCAGGCCACGAGGCCGGCGCAGGCCCTGCGGCCGATCCGCCTGCGGATGGGGTACGCCACCACCACGTAGCGGTCGATGGCGATGGCCGTGAGGGACAGCACCGACACGAAGACGGTGGCGGCCTGCAGCAGGGTGACAAAGTGGCACATGAACATGCCGAAGAGCCAGCCCCGCTCCTCGAAGGCGTAGGACACGGTGAGGGGGACGCAGGCCAGGCACATGATGAAGTCGGCCACGGCCAGGTTCCCGATCAGGAAGTTGGTGGTGCAGTGCAGCTTCTTGGTGAGGGCGATGAGGAGGATGAGGAAGAGGTTCCCGATGCACGCCACCACCACCAGCGTGGCGTAGAGCGGGATGAAGAGCGGCTTCAGCTCCAGGAGCAGGTCCAGGCCCGTGAAGATCAGGGCTGAGTCGTTGTGCCAGGAGTCATTGGGCAGCTGAGCCATGGGAGCCCCTGTGGCTGATGCAGCTTCTCCACAACTCAAGGTCAAACACAGATGAGCCTGTGAGCTCTGGAGGGGACACAAATACATTTTGGCTGAACTTCAGGGCAGAAGGGCCTGTCCCAAGTCTGGACCTCTTGCACAGCACTGTGCTGAGGCACTACTGGCTGGTTTAAATGACTTGCCTAAGAGTGAAGATGCCCTGTGACAGACACAGAGGAGCTCCGGTATGGAGGAGACTTGGGAAGCTGGCTGTGAAATAGTGAAGCAGCCAGCACAGATCTGTGGGGAGCTGCCAGCTAGGGGCAGCAGGACCTAAAAATCAGCTAGAGAAACCTCATGGAGAGTTTCCACCTGGGAACTGAGCTGACTTTAAGCAGAAAAAAAAGGACACTCCTGCATTTCTTGCTTTTTATTTTTCCCAGTTAATTCCACCCTGACCCACCAGCCCCATGGCACCTGGCTGGGCAGGGAAAGGAGCATCCTTTCCATCCCCTGCACTCCTGTGTCTCTCCCAGCCAGCCCACCCCATCCCAACCCATCCCACTAGGTTCTTTTATCCCCTTGGTTATATCTTCATCACTCATGGAGCTTTGGCTTCTCCTGTCCTTCCCTGTTCCTGCTGTAATGTGAGAGAGGGAAGGAGGGAGTGCCTGGCTCCCTGGGCACTTCCACAAACCTACTCAGGGGGAATGAGGTGAAATGTATTCCAGCAGAAAGTGTATGGAAATTAAGAGTTCCCCTCCAGGACCCTCCTTTCAAGTCCCACACTCTCAAAAATTATTGTTTTATCCCCCTTACCAGGATCTGGACAGCCTTTTCCCCCCAGTGGAGAGTCAAATCAGCATTAATTAAGAAACCCTTGTAATTAACCGAGGGATATTGAGGTTTTCTACATCCCAGCTGCACTCACAGGGCGCACGCTGTGATACCACAGCTCCAGGTCCCCATGCCCTGCCTGGGGCAGGAGCACAAAATCCATCAGGAAACTTGCAGCTGAGGAGCCAAAATGCTCATTAACTTACAGAATGAAAATTCTGAAGCTCAATTAAATTCTTTAATTCTGCTTCGCGTACCCACGAGAGTCAAACCAGCCCTTCTGTGCGTGCATCGCCAGGCTCCTGCTCCCTCCCCGATAAATGCTGAACCCCGCGGCTCCGGCTGGGGTCTGGGGGGTCCAGGGTGTGGCTGCGGGACCCCTGTCCCGGTCCGGAGCTCTTACCTGCCGAGGGCTCCGGGGTGCTCGGGGCCGGGAGCCGCCCGCTGCCCGCCGATGCTCCCGTGAGGATGAGGAGGAGCGTTCCCTTCGCAGGGTGTTCACCGGGAGACTCCGGCACAGCCGATCTCAGCCGGGCTTTTGTGGTGTGGGGCTTTTGTTGTCTTGCTTTGTCTTTCTTTTTTTTTTTTTTTTTTTTTTTTTTTTTTTTTTTTTTTTTTTTTTTTTTT